ATGTACAGAAATTTTATTGCAGTATTGATCATAGTGATAAAAATCTAGAAACAAAATAGATCCCATCACTAGGGAAATGGCTGGATAAATGACAAATACTATGCATCCTTTTGAAAAATGACCTAAGTTATAGCAGTTGACATAGAAGGATTTCCATGAAACATTTGTTTAATGAGAGTAATGTTTTGGTAAAACAATGACAAAACATCCCTATACACGTGTATGTGACTATATACACACACTTATATGAGTTACATGAGCATGCAAAAAGATGGAATCTTTTAATATATAGCTATTTTTTATATATAAGTTGTTTCAGATTACCTCGGAGAGGGTGCTGTCATGGGAGGTAGGGAACAAAATAAAAAAGGAAAAGAGAGAAAAGTATAACTTTTAAGCACTTTATATGTGGAGCTATGTAAAAGAAATTAAATAAACATTAAATTAAAACATTTAGAATTAAGCTCCACTTTATATGCAGAGCTATGTAAAAGAAATTAAATAAACCTAAAAAATTGAGAAGCCAGCCCTGATGGCCTAGTGGTTAGAGTTTGGGGCTCTCACTGCTTCAGCGGCCTGGGTTCGTTTCCTGATCGCAAAACCACACCACCTGTCTGTCAGTTGCCATGCTGTGGTGGTGGCTCACATAGAACTAGAACGACTTACAACTAGGATATACAACCATGCACTGGGGCTTTGAGGAGAAAAAAAAAAGAAGAAGAAGAAGATTGGCAACAGATGTTAGCTCAGGGCGACTCCTTCCCTGCAAAAAAAAATTACAGGAGATTGTTATACTGCTGGTCCCAGTGAAGCACATCTCCCAGTACCCATGCCCCTCTGTAGTCCCCTCACACACTGACTGTGGGTTTGACCGTGTGACTTGCTTTGGCCAGTGGAACAATGAAAAGTGTGCACATGTGAATTTGCCCTCTCCTGCTACTGGGAACTGGTTCACCATCATATGGAGAAGCTTGAGCTACTCTACCAGAGAATGAGACTTCATGGAGCAGTGACAAGCTGTCCCAACTGAGGTCCCCTGGACCAAGTAGCTCCAGGTGGTCTGCCAGCTGGCTGCAGCTACGTGAATGACCCCAGGTGAGATCAGCAGAAGAACTTCCCGACTAATTCCAGACCAAATTATTATTATTTTTTGTGAGGAAGATCAGCCCTGAGCTAACATCCATGCTAATCCTCCTCTTTTTGCCGAGGAAGACCGGCTCTGAGCTAACATCTATTGCCAATCCTCCTCCTTCCCCCCCTCAAAGCCCCAGTAGCTAGTTGTATGTCATAGTTGCACATCTTTCTAGTTGCTGTATGTGGGACGTGGCCTCAGCATGGCCGGAGAAGCGGTGCGTTGGTACGTGCCCGGGATCCAAACCCGGGCCGCCAGTAGTGGAGCGTGCGCGCTTAACCGCTAAGCCACGGGGCTGGCCCGAGACCAAATTATTGACCTACAAAATTGGTTGCAAATAACCTGATTGTTGTTTTAAGCCACTAATATTTGGGGGTGGTTCGTTATGTAGCAATAGATACCTGATACAAAAAGGCTCCTCAAGAAGAATGAGGCTCCCTTTCCTCTGGTCTACCATAATACCTCTCTCATAACGCTTGTAACACCCTATTATCTGCCTTTCTTCCCAGCAGACTGTGGATTCCTAGAGTATCCTAGTCATCTCAGCCTGCCCTGTGCGTATCACATAAGTGTTCGATTGAGGTGTGTTGACCAAACGAACGATCACATTCATGGGATAAATGGGATATTGCAGAGTTAGAGCCATTGAAAGAGGCCAGGGAGGGAAGTGCCAGCGTTTTACGAAGAGAAAAATCCATGGGAGAAGTCGGAGAAGCTGCATCTCTGCTCTAATTCTCCCCACCTTTGTATAGGCCAGGAAGGTGGAAAAACAGCCCCTGTTGCACCTAGCCCTTTCACTATGACCCCCAAATGATTTACCTTAGAATCCCAAGAATGATTCCCAAATCTCAAGAGGTTCTGTGATGTTCAGTCTGCTGACAATGGAGTCTGGCCTATGCAGGGGTGGGCACTATCTGGGTAAGGGGCTGTTCTCAGGGCAGACCTGCTCAGGGAACTAGGCAGGTAGCATGGGCTAGACACTTGCCCCATTTCCAGTCTGTTCCTTCCTCCTCCTCCTCCATTCCTTCCTCTCTTCCTTCCTCCCTCCCTCCTATCCTTCTTTTACTTCTGAGGAGTAAATCAGAGTCAAATGAGAAAGTAGATGAGGAACTGAGTCTTCTGAAGGAGGAAGGGGTCAGCATGACCCTTAGAGTCCCATCCAGAGGAAGGAAATTTGGCAATGTCAGGAAAGGGTAATTAAGCAGGAATTGTATAAACCAAGGGTCAGGAGGTTATAACACAAAGGTGGTGCCCAGAACCAGTTCAGCTCTGCCCTTGTCTGTCACCTACCTTCTTGTCAGCAGACTGGCCTGCAGACTTCCTCGCTTACACAACAGCTTGAAAAGCAGTGGTCCATTGACTTCTGCTCCCCCCATGAGGCCATACAGAACCCATTAACCATCTGCAGCTAAATAGCGGAGGTTCTTCTCCCAGTAAGAGCCACAATTCAGGCCAAGATCACATTGACACCCACATCTTGAATAAGAAAGCATCAGTAGTAGGTAGAAATGGCTTAGTTATCACGAGGAGGTAGATGCCCAAACTCCTCCCTGCTCCATCTAGTCTTGCCCCATCTCCTGTGGGCCAGGAAACAAAGTGGGAAGGAAAGTCAGTCTTTGGAAGGCTGGGTACACTTAGTTGTCCTAGAGAATGGAGGGAGAACTGCTAATGCATTCAGCTTTCAGAAGATCTCAAGCTAAAGAGACATGTCTCATGGTAGTTCTCCACATAGACTGATCAGGCCTTGAGCACTTGCTCCAGAGAGCAAAAATGGCATTCTTCTTCCTCTGAGAAGTCAGTATGCTTCCTCCTTTTGATAATTAAAGCTGTGTAAACCCCTTGGGCACTAGTGCCCCCTGGAGCTTCAAGGGTCCCCCCAAATCTCTCCAAGTATGGGAATCCCACTCTTGATCATATTGTTTTTTTCTGAAGCAGCCAGGAAGCTCAGAATCATACATAATACTTGATCAGTTATAGTGTTAACCTTTATGATTAGCATATTTTTATCCTCCTTTCTTTTTATCCTCTGTATTCTCTATTTCTAATTAATTTTTCTTCTATCCTGAGAGGTTAGACCATCTCCAGGCTTTGTGGTAGATACAGCAGAGAGAAGGGATTGGGAAGGAGAAAGAAGAGGGGGTTGGGAATGATAGAGAGGGAGAAGGAAGATATTGTAGGCAGCTTCTGAGATGGTCCCCTAATGATCTCCACTTTCTGGTATTTACACCTTTGGGTGATTCCCTCCCTTTGGGTATGAGCTGGATTTATAGACTCACTTCTAACAAGTAGAACATGGCAGAAGTGATGGGATGTCACTTCCAAGATTAGGTTACCAAAAGACTGGCTTCTGTCTTGGGCACGTTCTTTCCCTCTTGCTTGCTCTCTTTGAAGGAAGCCAGCTGCCATGTTTTGAGCTGCTCTGTGGAGAAGCTCATATGTCAAGGAACTGATGTCTCTGGGTAGCAGTTAACAAAGACCTGAGGCCTGCCCACAACCACAAGAGTGGGCTGGAGGGCAGATAGTCCCCCAGTCTAGCCTCAAGATGACTCCAGCCCTGGCTGAAACTTGATTGCAGCCTTGTAAGACCCTGACCCTGAGCTGGAGGACCCAGCTAAATTGCTCCCAGGTTCCTGACTCACAGAAACTGTAGGATAATAGATGTTTGCTGTTTTAAGCCACTAAGTTTTGGGGTAATTTGTTATGCAGCAATAGATAACTATTACAAGAGAGGAAGGGAGAGGAAACGATATGGAAGAGGAGGAAGTAGGACGCGAGAGGAAGGGTTGAGCTGGGGAGTAAGGATCGGCCTGGCCTTTCTTCCAAACGCATAGGCCCCCACACAGGCATGCACATATATACTCTGTGTGGCCTTCACCGCCCCCTCAGAGAGGTCCACTGCTATAATCAAACCCCACTGTGGCATCCAGCCTCTGGGCCATCTCAGTTTTCTCTTTGGGCTCGTGGTCACCAGAGGGATGGCTTTGAACAGCCTGGTCAACTGAATGGCAGCCATGCCACATGTCCAATGTCAGCCTGGATGAGCACAGTCTCCTGCTCTTGTACACCTCCTGTGGCAACAATCCAAGTTTGAATACCCTGAGCCAGCAAAGGCGCAGGGGTGGGAAGGTGTAGGGTTGGCTTTGGAAGCAAACCATCTCGTGCACTGAGGATATGATGAGAGACAAACCAAGGGTTGGGTAGTGTCTGGGTGACAGAGTGCACCGAATATGAGGAGCCATCAAAGGTTTTGGAGCCCAGGGAGCCTTGATCAGAGCTGGGCTTGTGCAAGATTAATCCAGCAGACAAAGAGTGTGTTATGTCAGAACTGTTCTAAAGGGGGCTCCTGAGTCAAGAGTCTAGGGAGCTCCTGGGACAGAGACAGTCCCCAGGACAGATGTCTGGGCTGCTCTGATACCTTTTTTTTTTTTTTTTTTTTGTGAGGAAGATCAGCCCTCTGCTAACATTTGCCAATCCTCCTCATTTTTTGCTGAGGAAGACTGGCCCTGGGCTAACATCTGTGCCCATCTTCCTCCACTTTATATGGGGTGCTGCCACAATATGGCTTGCCAAGCAGTGCATCGGTGTGCGCCCGGGATCCGGGCGGCCGCAGCTGAGCGCGCGCACTTAACCGCTTGTGCCACCAGGCCGGCCCCTCTGATACCTTTTTATATAAGATAAATGGAACGAGAGGTCTTCTCCACTGCCTGGGAGGGACCCCAGCAGAAGGACCTAAGGAAGTTTCCTCCCTTCTGAGGGTGGGGACAAGCAGCTGGAACTGCTCTGAGAACCTCGGTTCTGCCTCATGTTTGTTATAAAAACTGTCCATAGTTGTCTCCACGGGAGCCAGGTCCCAGTCAGCACTGGGATTAGAGGTGAAGGTGTGTTGGGGTATCAGTGAGGGGCTCAGAGTTGAGGGTAGGGCAGCTGGAGGCCTGAGTGGGGTCAGCAGTTAGCTTCAGGTGACAGGGCGGGGCTGGTAGGAGAGGGTGTTCAGGGCGTTGGGGGCCTCTTTGCCTACGAAGTGCAGCAGCTGGAAGGCGGTGAGCCAGGCCTCCAGGACGGCTGCAGCCTGGGGCAGAGACAATCCCTCTGGGATGAGCATGGGAAGCCCTTTGGGGACAGTGACATATTGAGCCTGGCCCCCACCAGGCAGCAGAGCCATGGCTGGGTCCTTGATCTTCCAGTGCCCCTGGCAGCTGGGTCCCAGTTCTGCCACGTGTCCAGATGCCTTGAGTCCCAAAATGCTGCTGGCTCCTGGTGGAGGAGAATACTGGCCTTGTCTCTGCAGAGAGCGGGGCACACAGGTAAGTGGATGTGATGAGAGGGATCCAATGTCAGCCCTCCTTGTTGCTGGAGGGAGAGATGGATGTTTGCTTGGAGCTTACTTTTTGCTTTCTAGAGTGGGAGAAAATGCACATGGTCTCTCCAAATAACTGTCATTCCAGAAACAGCTACTCCACAGGACCTTTTCAGAGATAGTCATTTAAAATAGTGCTCTGGGGGCCTGCCCCCTGGCTTAGCAGTTAAGTGTGCGCGCTCCGCTGCTGGCAGCCTGGGTTTGGCTCGGGGCACGCACCGATGCACCGCTTGTCAGGCCATGCTGTGGCGGCGTCCCATATAAAGTGGAGGAAGATGGGCACAGATGTTAGCCCAGGGCCAGTCTTCCTCAGCAAAAAAAGAGGAGGATTGGCATGGATGTTAGCTCAGGGCTGATCTTCCTCACAAAAGAAAAATAAAATAGTTGCTCTGGAGAGAGCCCCTCCAGGTCTCCCCAGTCATTCTCTCAGTCAGGCTGTCAGTGCTGTGGGGGATCAGGGGGTCAAGCAGCCAGGAAGAGTTGGGATGAGGGGCACGGCTTGCTGAGGTTTGAGACCCTGAGAAATGGGGCAAGGGGACCCACTGCCATCTCGGCCCTTGTTTCTCTTTCTCTGAACTTCGTTTCCACAAGAAGATAGGCTATCATGGGGTATTTTCTGGCTTGAATCTGGATCTTGCAGTGGGGAATGTCATGCAAACTGGCTCTCTGATTCTCTCCTGGCTGGCACAGGGTGGCATGAATTCAGGCTGCAGCTTGTAGAGACCGAGCTCAGTCCCTGCCTGGTGGTCACACAGCATTGCTGCCTGACACAGCCCAGGACCTGGATCAGAAGAAGGTGCAAAGGGACCCGTGACCCTTGGCTCTCACGCTGGCATGAGGGCACTTGTTCTCACACACAGATCAATCCCCTGCTTCTTGCCAGTTGGCTCTCTCGAGCCTAATGGATCTGCGTTCAAATTCTGTCTGCCATTTATTCAGTCATACCACAAATATTTACTGCGTGCTTAGTGTGTGTCAGGCCCTGTGCTAGGCAAAGCAGATTGCTTCTGTCCTGGTGGCGTTTACAGCTCAGTGGGGAAAGACAGACTTTAAAGAAGTAAACAAATATATAATTACAAATTGGAGCAAGGTCTGTGAACAACAGCAGCCTGCTGAGAGACACTAGTTGGAGGGACTATTTTAGACTGCGTAGTCAGAAAACCTCTGAGGAGGTGACATTTAAACTGAGACTTGAAAGAGAAGGAGCCAGACATACAAAGAATGGCTGAAGAGCATCCCAGGGGTTGGGAAAGGCGAATTGAAGGCTCTGGGGCAGAAAGTGTGTGAAGCGTTTGAAGAATTCCAGCGTGGCTGGAGGGCGGGGAATAGGTGAGAGGGGGGCTCCAATCCAGGTTGCAGAGGTGTCGGCGCCAAACCAGCAGGGCCCTGTAGTGGGTAGGCAGTTCCATTTTATCCTAAATGCGTTGGTCTTGTGGAGTATGGACCGCAAGCACTGGGGTAAGAGGCGATATTGGCTTGGACTTGGATGGCTTCAGGAGCAATGGGGAGAAGGAGACTAATTCGAGATCTGTTACAGAGGTAGCAAGGGCGCATGCTGATGACACGGATGCGGGGGCGGAGAGAGAAAGGGAGAAAATTCCAGGTTTCTGGTTTGAGCAGCATATTGGCTACTATTCTCACTTTCCTCATCACTGAAAAGGAGACAAAAATATCCTTAGGTCTTGTGAAGGTTAAATAAAGGAATCCACTTAGCACTGTGCCAGGCACAGAGTGGGCCCTCAACAAAGCACAGTTCTCTCCTTGCTGATGTATATGCTGACTCCCCAGCAGGGCTCTCAGGGGCGGGGCTGCGTAAGGAGCTCAGTGAGGGCACGATGGTGGCTGCTGGAATCCCTCTCCTGAGTCTGATACACACGGTGAGAATCCAAACCACACGACTAGCCGCCGCTGGCCCAGCACCCCCAAGCTCCCTTCAGCCGTGGCTGCAGGGTCAGTTCTGGATCCGAGCAGCTTCCCCACCCCACAGTGACTGGGTACCTGGAGGAAGTCCGCCCGGTTCAGGGCGCTGGCCGCCACCTTCGGGAGGACTTCCACCTCTCCTGGGCTGGGTGTGGGCACCTCCTTTATGTAAAGAGTTTCTCGTCCTGCTGGCTTGTCAAAATGCACAGCTAACGTTTTATCTGAGGAGACAGGGATAGAGGGACAGAGAAAAGGCATGAAAATTGGGACAGGTTTGGAAGGAACTCCCTTCCCCAAGCCAGGATCACCAGACACCACAGCCTCCACCAGCCCATGTCTCAGCCCTGTTCTCTCTGCCCGTCTGGCTGCCCTGACTAAATTCCCGGCTATTGCTGCGTCCTGAGTCCTCTCTGTCCATGAAGAGGGACTGGTGCAGCTGGCTTTGGAAGAAAGAAATCGAGATTCAAGTCTTGGGCAAAAATGGAGCTAAAACATTCCATAAGGTACCATACAGGGCTGATGCAGAGCAGGGCTCTCGGATATGCCCTGTCCTCGGGGAGTTAGCCTGACTTCCCAGGAGCTGGGGTCTCCGAGAGGGCAGGGGAAGACCAAGCCAAGGAGGAGGAGCAGCTATACCTGGAGCCATCCTGCCGGGGTCCCTCTCTCAGTCAGAGCTGGGGTGCCTGGGCCACACCTCCTGCCTCAGATACAGCCTGCCGCTGCAGGCCCAGCTCAGGGAAGGACCATTTGTTTATGTGCTGGGCGGGAGGGATCGGCGGGCTCTTGCCAGTGATGTGGCTCTGTTCTGCTTGTTCATTTTTAAAATCTAATTATCAAAGCGATCTAATAATGTTGCTCAGTTTTCGTTCTCCAGGGAAATAACCCTCCCTCCATCCCCCAAACAAAGGCAGTGGTGACCCATTTTCCTCCCTGCACAAAAGGCCGACAGTGTGGTAGTCCCCCGTTCCCGGAACTCCGGAAGCTGCCGCTGTCCCAGCGCGGTGCAGGGGTGAAAGACCACAGCCTTCCCTTCGGGATGCCGCACTAAAGGGCAGATACTCACGTTTGAGGGAAGATGGTGACCAGCTTGTGTCCAGCCCTGTGCTAACCCTGTGGTGGGGAGAGAAGGGGCAGTACAGCCTGTGTAGGGAGGATGAAGAAGGTGAGGGACAGGGAGCCCACGGAAGCCCAGGCATGACCCTAAAGGCTGTGGGTGTCCACGGGGGAGAGCTCCTCAGGCTGGGGGCAGGTCCCAATGCATGGATGTGGCTGTGCTCACTTGAACCTCACAACATCCCCAAAGAGGCAGGCAGGTTAGGAGATCCATTTTCAGATGGGGAAACTGAGACTTAGAGAGGTAAATACCTTGTCTAGGCTCAGAAAGCTAATGACAGAGCAGCCACTGGAAACCAGGACTCCTGGTTAGACTCTAGAGGAAAGGCTGTCTCATCACCATTCCCACCTGAAGGCTTCGTTGAAGGAGGGGGAAAAAGGGCAGCAAATGGAGAGAAGGCAGGAGACAGTAGTAATAGCTGGCCTCACAGCAGGAGAGAGAAGGGATTGCCACAAAGCAGTAGGGGAGCTTATGAGGTTTCCCTTGGTGCTGCACAGATTTTCTCCATCTCTGAGTGCACCGACTTCCCAAAGAGTCAGCAAATAGATCTGCTGGAAACCCCACAAAACAGGTTGCTTTTCTTAAAACAAAGCATCCCCTGCTCCAGTCTTTCTGTCAAGATCCAAATTTTGGGATTGGGTGGTAATTTTCAGATGACTAGTTGCAGTGGCAGTATTCCACAGTCCCGCCACATCCCTGGCCTCTAAGGATCTCCCCAAAGGTTCATGTTTTAGCAGTACAAACAAGATCTTCTGTGTTAGGAATGGCGTGGAAGTACATGTCCAAGAAATCCAACTGATCTGAGGGTGCAGTTGCTGCTGCTCATCCTGAAAGTTAAATGGGGTTAGGGAGCTCATCTCTCCCAGATGTCCAGTGGGCTCCCAGCCCCTCCAAAGGATTCTTCGTAGTTCTGCTGAGTCACCTTGAGGCATCAGCTTCTCTAGTGACCAAGCCCAAGCTTGGGCAGCCAGCCAGCTCAGTGATGACTCACGATTCTGAAACAACATAAGGGCTGACACTTTTCCCTTGAGGAGCTGGGGCAGTTCACCTCTGGGTGCCATGCTAGCTTCCATACCTACAGGACTTTCTCTGGGCTCTTTCTCCCCTCTCTCCATGTGCACTCTACCCTGAGGTTGGTGGGAGGAATCCCAGGAGTAGGGACTTAGGGAGGCTCTGGGAGAGGGAAGGGCTTGGAGTCAGCCTGGTGGGGCCCTTTGTCCACCCTGTCTTCTGGGGGCTGCCTGTTTGTCTACTTGCCCCTGCCGTCTTCCTGGGCACCCATCCACATGGCTCAAGGCCCAAGCCTTTTCTTCTTACTCCAGGCAGTGGTCTTCACACTTTTTTATCTCAAATAGACAAAAAGCATTTTCAAAAACTATGTGTCTGTCCTATCTCACATTTTTAAGTTGATATCCAAAATATTTCATCTTAAATTTAAATAGTGCAAAAGATATGATTTCTGGTAGAAAACACTGACATTTTAAACTCTTACATGAGGTTTGTATATGTATCAAATGGAATGCAGATTTCAGAGTAATTTGATATTTATAATCATCCACTAAAAAATACCCAAACAAGTTCTTCTTTAACCATTGGAAGTTTTAAATTTTCATTTTTCTTCTAGTACTCATATTTTCATTCTACTTTTCTCATAGAATTATATCCTGCTACATTTTATGCTTTATTGATCATTCTTAGCTGCAACAAAAATATATACGTAAACTGACATTAATTAAAAAAATTATTTCTTGGTTCCATAGGACTCTAAGTGTTAAATTTCTTCTGGATTTAATTATCATTACAATATTATTAGTTTACAATTTATCAAAACAACATTATTTTGAATTATTTTAAATGTAATTTTAAGTATCATTTTAAGTATTAATAATTATTGAACATAAAAAGTAAAATATTATTGGAAAGATATCTCTTAATGACCATTGGTGGGGCTGAATTTTTCAAATAATTATTATATCTGTGGATGAATATTACTTATTGATAGAATGAGACTGGGCTCAACATTAATTCTCTTCCTAATTTTCATTTTTATAGACAAGCTCTGAGAAAACTAATTTGCATAAATTAGATGGCAAAGAAAGAAATTTCATTATAGGAATTTCAGCCAATTCTTTGAACACCTCTGAGCTATTGATAAAAACCATATAATAATCTAACATCAAAAATTATTTTCAATGATCTATTAGCTGGCGTCTTAATTAGGTTTTCCTTCAATTTTATTTACCTATTTATTTATTTATCTGCTTGCTCAAAGCTTTGTAAACCTTTGCCTTTTTGTTTCAGGAGGAGGGCTCCTTTCAGCATTTCTTGTAAGGCAGATCTAGTGGTGATGAACTCCCTCAGCTTTTGTTTGTCTGGGAAAGCTTTTATTTCTCCGTCATAACTGAAGGATAATTTTGTTGGATAGAGTATTCTTGGCTGATAGTTTTTGTTTTTCAGTATTTTGAATATATCATTCCACTCTCTCCCAGCCTGTAGGGTTTCTGCTGAGAAATCTGCTGAAAGCCTGATGGGGGTTACTTTATAGGTTATTTTCTTCTCTCTTGCTGCCCTTAATATTTTTTCTTTGCCATTGACTTTTGAAAGTTTTAATATTATATGCCTTGGAGAAGGTCTTTTTGCATTGATGTAATTAGGAGTTCTATTAGCTTCATGTACTTGAATATCCAGTTCCTTCCCCAGGTTTGGGAAGTTCTCAGCTATTATTTCTTTGAATAAGCTTTCTGCTCCTTTCTCTCTCTCTTCTCCTTCTGGGATACCTATAATCCTTATGTTCCTTTTCCTAATTGAGTTGGATATTCCTCAAAGAATTTCTTCATTTTTAAAAAAATCTTAGTTTTTCTCCTGCTCCACCTGAATCATTTCTAGGTTTCTATCTTCGAGCTCACTAATTCTCTCCTCCATATGGTCTGCTCTATTTTTAATGCTTTCTTCATTATTTTTCATCTCATTAATTATGTTCTTCATCTCCAGAATTTCTGTTTGGTTTTTTTTAGAGTTTCAGTCTCTTTGGTGAAGTACTCTGTCTGTTCATTAATTTTATTCCTGAGTTCATTGAACTGTCTTTCTGAGTTTTCTTGTAACTCACTGAGTTTCTTTGTGACAGCTAGTTTGCATTCTCTGTCATTCAGATTGTAATCGTCTGTGATATCAAGTTTGGTTTCTGGAGAGTTGTCTTTCTCTTTCTGTTCTGCCATATTACTATAGTTCTTTATGGTGTTTGATGAATTGATCCTCTGCCAGTGCATTTGTGGTAGTAACCACCTTTTCTTATTTGGGTATGGCTTTGGTTACTTTGGTTTGGGGCTGCTTCTGGTTGTATTTGAGAGCCTGCACTTTCCACCCTTCATTGCTTCTGCTAGAGGCATCGTCACTACCTTCCTTGTGCTGCCTTGTGCCTCTGGGGTTGATGGTTCCTTGCTGCTTATGAGGTCACTGAAATCTCAGGGGTTTCCACCAGGGTCACCTGGCTGCAAGCACTTCTGCTGCTTCCAGGGTTGCCTGTGTCTGGTGTTCCTCAACTGGCTCTCTGCAGGCTGTCCACGGGCTTGGATGCTGCTACCCTGTGCTCCACCTATGCTGCTGCTCCTGGGTTGTCTGGGGGTGCTGGTTGCAGTGCTGACAGGGCTGCTAGATTCATAGGTGTCCCTGTTGCTGCCAGGGGCCCGGGGACCCAGGGACTTGTATGCAGCCCCTGCTGCTGGTGGAGCTGGTGTCAGGAATGCCACCACTGGGGGCTGGGTCACCAGTTTTGCTGTGGTTCCTGAATCCTCTGGTCACAGTTTCCACCAGCCACCACTTCAGATATTTAGATACACGGACCTCTTATGCACCCTGTTGTGCTATATAGGGAATCCTCTCTTGGTCAATGTATGTCCAATTGGTTGTAACTTAGAGAGGAGAGACAAATGGAATGACTCACTCCATCATGATGCTGATGTCACTCCCAAGTTCTGGAAGTTATATGGCACACCTGGGGCCACACAGTGACGTCATGGGTAGAGAGCAAGCTACATAACTTATTTTTTTTTTAATAATTTTATTTATTTATTTATTTTTCCCCCAAAGCCCCAGTAGATAGTTGTATGTCATAGCTGCACATCCTTCTAGTTGCTGTATGTGGGACGTGGCCTCAGCATGGCGGGAGAAGCAGTGCGTCAGTGCG